AGTCTGAAAAATCATCCAAGAATAAACCTTACCAGTTGGAGTGAAACATTTAAATGGAAATTAGAGATGTCATACTGAATAGTCTGATGCCAAATCATGATCATTCAACAGGTCCCCTGGGTTTGCAAAGCGTATTATGTGCCTGTCCCCCTAATATGGTCTGGGATCACAGTATCTAATATCAATGGCTTTTTGTGTATGTGCTGAGGATTGATCCCAGAGGCACTTAACCACTGAGTCACATTCCCAGCCCTTTTTTATTTTTTGAGACAGGGTCTCACTCAGTTGCTCAGGGCCTTATTAAGTTGCTGAAGCTGGCTTTGAACTTGCACTCCTCCTACCTCAGCCTCCCAAGTCACTGGGTTTACAGGTGTGCGCCACCATGGTTGGCTTCAGTTGGCCTTTTAATGCAAGCTGAACCTGCTTATAATGAGCACCGTGAAATCCCAGCCTACTGCTCTCATCCTTTCTGGTCATTTTATCATAATCCTATTTCCTTTGCTTTAGCTCTTTTCCAAAGTATCAGCTTGCTATTATGTCCTGAAATACATGAATATTTTAATATAATTCCCCTTTTTTGAGGGACAGACTTATTTTCTATCATCTTTAATGAAATTTCCAGAGATATATGATACAGGCAATTATGTTAATGAGATTTATGTTTATTTCTTTTTTAAAAAAAGACCCTTTAGACCAGTGTTGTCATTCAAAGCCATTAAAGTGATGGTTCTCACACTCATTTATGTCTAAGCTCCCTTGAGACACACAAGTTAATGTGTTCCTAGTTACTTTAGTAGAAGTTCATATGCCCTTATCCAGTTAATTTATTTAAATTAATTTGCATGACAACGGATGGATTAAATTGGTTAATTATCTTGATGTCTAGAATATGAAGTGTTAAAAGCCAGATGTTAGCTGAGCTCAATTAAAGAGCAAAGTGTTCACACTTCATGTGAATAACAAGATATGATCTTTTCTAGAATCCCCTTTTTAAAAATATGACTTCTAGAGGCTGAGGTTGTGGCTCAATGGAAGAGCACTAGTCTACCACGTACAAGGCACTGGGTTCCATCCTCAGCGCCACATAAAAATAAATAAATAAATGTCCAACCACAACATAAAAAAAGTGTAAAAAAAAAATTAGTTCTAGTACCATGTGCTCGCTATCCCAGATAATGCTCCAAACACTCTTTTTGAATAAGTATATATGGATTTATTGGGCTTAACAATATCCAGTTAAAATCTGCTTTTAATGTGTCACTCAGAAGACCCTCAAACAATTAAAGAATTTTTGAATGATAATGCAAATTTACTCTGAGGCTATGTAAAACATTAGTGCCTGTGGAGACTGCACACCCATCTAAAATCTGCCTATGTATTTTCTTGCCTTAAATTTATCTCACCCCTGTGAATCTCAAAATCCATTGGTGTCACAGACACCTGCAGAACTGAGCAGAAATACACATGCCCAGGCACCATCCTCCCAAGTCAAAAGTTCAGATCTTTGGTGGTGTTTAATAATGCCTCAGGTGTTCTGATGAATACCAAAGTTGAGAATCACTAGCTTTTGGTATGCTAGTCCATCTGAAAAGAAATATCCCATTGGAGTGAACTGTGGGGGAACCAAAGATTGAGCACTTAGTATAGTAATAGCAAAAAATTCCTGAAAACCATTATTCCCTACGTGTGTGAATGTTTATGTGTGTCTATATACATATATGTATGTAAATATCCCTATGCACCCATATCTGTGTGTATGTATGCATACATACATACACACAGATATGTGGACATAACTTGTAGTTTATCAACAAAATACCCAGTAGGTGGAACTTAAGGGCCCTGTGCAAAGGGTGTCTCATTCTTTCTTGGGAATGGAATAAGAATTGCATGTGTCCCATTCTGGAGACGATAAGAATCAAGAATCCTTTTAAAATAAATCTGTTAAGTTTTCCCATGACCCAACCGGGACTTCTCAGTCTCCATGTTTCCCAGCAGTACCCCAACCAATAAACCTGCCAATTAAGCAACTGAATGTCATTATTGTGAATGTAATTACAGACAGCAATTATGAGCTTGTAAATTCCTCCCATGAATACAGCTCTTTTCCCAAACCATCTTAAGCTCTTTTCTTAGGAAAGTGGAAAGCAATCCTATCCCTCACCTCACCCCAAATGTGGCCTCCCTTGCTTAGAAGACACTCCTCCTTGCTGGCCCGAGGGTCATGCTGAGCAAGCTTTAATGGCTGTGCTATAAAGCAGAGCGCCCCCTTGGGGTGCAGTGCTTTTCAGCATCTTTTACATAAAGTTTCTCTAGGGAGCAGATCTCTTAATCTCTTATTGGGACTGGGGCATTAGTACCAAATTTTAAGAATCATTGCAGAAAAATCAAAGGATGGAACTCTGAAGAATAATGTCAGTATTTTAACATTATTGAAATTAAGCTTTAAAAGGTGCAATTCACTAAGGATTTAGAGTCTCTGAAAATAAAGTTGGCACTGTAGAAGCATGCATAGGCGAGAAGGCTTCACATGTCTGTAGAAATAAAATTAATCTTCTTCAAGCCCAGAATTAACCCTTGCATTCAGTTACTGTATATTTAGTTCATGAAAACCTTAAACCCTCCTGGATAATAGGTGCTTGAAAGAGTTCTACACAGATGTGTTTGGCTTGAGATGCTATGCAGTCTGCCAAGATCCCAATCTGTTGTTTCATTTTAGTGGATAGTGAGAATAAGTAATTGCACTAGTAGTTGGTTGAAAAGGGGAAGAACTGCATGCAGACCTGTTTGATTCACCATGCGATGAGTGATACCATATAAACTCTGAGAAGAAAGTTCCCGTATTTATTTAACTTACCTGATACTATGCCTCACACGGCCCTTTGCATAGAATCGATTTTCAGAGCTCTTCTCTGAATAAGGTTAAATATCACACCCAGCAGTTAGCATGATGTATGACATTTTTAAAGAAGACATTGCTTACAAGCCAAATGAACTACTTCAAGCCATAGCATTTCCATAAACTATAACCAAAAAATCAGGCACTGATTATGCCTTTGTTGTTGTTGATGATGATGTTTTTGTTCATGGATGTCTCCTGGTGTAGAAGTAGAATGTGCCTGGGCATCAGAACTTTTTCAGAGTAACATGAAAATTCAGAAGTACCAATACAACTTTCATAAGTGACCCGGAGGAGCTGATACTTTTAGAGAAGCTAACCTGATCAAACTCTGCTGAAGATATCTAGTGGCATTAAGTGAGGGTGCTTATTTCACTTAGCATGACAGTCTCCAGTTCCATCCGTTTACCAGCAAATGCCAAAATTTCATTTATCTTTGTGGCTGAGTATTATTCCAATGCAACCACAAAAATGGAAAGTTATACTCCATGTAGGTATAATATGTCAAAATACACCTTACTGACATTTATATCTAAAAAGAACAAAAAAGATACCTTAAAAAAAAGACGGTGCGGGGCTGGGGTTATAGCTCAGCGTTACAGCGCTTGCCTCGCACTTTGAGGTGCTGGGTTCGATCCTCAGCACCACATAAAAAATAAATAAATAAAATTTAAAAAGAGGGTGCTTATGAAAACCTTAAGCCTTTTTTACTCTTTTATTAAATAATTTGAATTCCTTTTAAATGTTTGAAAAGTAGGTTAAAATTCCCTAGGCTGAGCACAGGTCAGATGGACTTATCTCTAAAAGCACCAGGGATACAAGCATCTAGGATCTTTCGGTAACTTTAGCATAAAAGAAAATTCATGAGTGAATTACAGTCTTTCAATCACCGTGTATGACCACTTTAAGAGGAAGACTCTTTATAGTTTTTCTAAGGCTAAGAATTTCTAGAAATATGGGTGACCAGATAGGTTATATTTTAAAAATATGTATTATATACACACACACACACACACACTCTCTCACATCCCTCCACAGATATATATGTGTGTGTATACACACAGATATATAACATATATATATACCTGTGAATCTATACAGATTTATATGTACTTTTGAATATGTATAGTATATATCTGTAAATATCTGTGTACGTACATAGATGTATACACACATTTGCTCATTTTTTTTGCTCTGTACTTTATATCCATATAAAGATATGAAAAGAGAAAAATTGCAACCAGGGAAGATTAATATAAGAAATTCTTCATTATATTATCCTATCTTTTTCCATTTTCTAGAGGGCAGACCCTAAGTCCCTATAAATTGAATAGGAAAAAGTATATAATACACATAAATAATTAACCACCGGGTACAGCTGCCAAAGAGATTTTGGGCTCATCGTTCTATTATTAGGCCACAGCTAAAGTACTAACTGCTTCATTTCACCTGATCTCATTGCCAATTTGGGACTACATTGAAATCATTTACAAAACTTTTATATTTGAAAGATCCAGTTCTTCTTCTTCTTCTTCTTCTCCTCCCCTCTTCCCCCAACCATCGGGGTAGAAGGTGGTAAGAACAGAGTTGTCACTCTCAGTGTGGCCACGTGAGTGCCTCTCATTTAAGTAACAAGGTGTCCCTCAGGTCAGCCTGTGATAAAACCCAAGTCAAACAAGGCTGAGTCCCGGATGTTTTATGTCCTGAGGATCCGACCTAAGGTCATGGCCAGCCCTGATTTGATTCTCAAGACCTCAAATGGTCATGTAAGCAGTGACATAAATGGGTGTAAACTTCCTCTTGGGCCATTGCCGTGGAAGGGGGACGGGTGAAAGTACAGCCGTGCCAGGGTGGAGCACATGTCCTCCTAGACACTGGGCATAAGCAGGAGTGTTCATTACTCGGACGGGCAACCTAGCCATGGTGGCTAGATGCCCAAGGCTGACGAATTCCGCATCATGTCACTGCCTTCAAGTGGAGGTCCATGTGAATACTGTCAGCCCCAAAGAATTGAGAAACCGCCTGCCTTCCAGAACTCTGCATCTCAGCAAAGCCTCCACACAACCAACAGCTTGTCATCTCGTGTTTTTCAACCCCCTAGAAAATGGCCTTCCAGCCTGGGACAAACCGAAGCACTGTCCAGACCTGGAGGAGGACTGGAAGCTAGTAGGAATGTCCGAAGGCTGCCTACACAGGAAGAGCCATTCAGAGAGGCGCAGCACCCTGAAAAATGAACAGGCGTCACCGCATCTCATCCAGGCCACTTGGACCAGCTCCATATTCCACCTGGACCATGAGGATGTGAACGACCAGAGCATCTCAAGTGCCCAGACCTTCCAGACGGAAGAGAAGAAATGCAAAGGTAACTGGACTTATTTGTTTTTTTCTTTTTGAAAACATTTATTGCATATTTCTATACAGAAGAAAGAATCTCCCTGTAACTGTATACTCAGTCTCTGATTCCTCCAAGGCACCGTATCCACGTGTTCCGATTCAGGTTGAATTGGGATGCTTGGGGAATTGTCTTCTCCCCAAATTATATCTTTGGGGAGAAGACATTTCTATTGCTTTCATTAGCAGAAGTGTGGGTAGCTTGGGCTTTCATTCTGTTTTTTTTTTTTTTTTTTTTTTTTGCATCTGAGTAGAAACAGACTGTTGGATGTGAAAAGGTTTGCTTTGAAGTGTGTGTATGGGCGTGTGTACACACACACACGTGTGTTTTTCTTTTCCCAGTTGTGCCAGTGGTTAACGGGATTTCGATGCCTGCCTTTAACCTAAATAGACGATTTGTGCTCAATAGAGAGGTTTTAAGTTGTTGTCCTTTACTCATTAAATCCTATGTCATCATCCTGAAAAGAGAGATTATGGTGTTAGGAGGTTGTCACCTCATAAGAAAAAAAAAATAGTTAAACTGGCCTAAGTTCCTGATTGCATGAGATTTAGCTGTTCTTTACCTCACGTCGCCTCCACCCTGACAGATGTCTTGGTGCTGATCGCTTTATTGTCTTAGGGCTCCCCAAAACCTTTGCTTCTTAAATCAGTTTGTGTCGTTAAGTGTTCAAGAAATCAATTTGTGTCTTTAAATGTCCAAGTTCATGAGATTTCCTATTCTTTACAATTTAGAGGGTTTTTAAAATAATAATAATAATAATAAGGTTCTTTTGGTTTATTAATTATTACTACTCATCGTAAAGATTGTGTGTTTGAAAATCTTGCCATCGTATACCAATATGTAACAATGAAAATTTGTAAAGACTCCTACATAAAAGCTATTAAGGGATTTCTGCCAACTATCCTATCTTACACATACATACACAATTTATCATTTCTGTAAAAGAGCTAAGATTTTAGCTATTCTGAAAACATTTTGAAAGCTCTTTGTAGCTACCAGTTTACCTGGGAAATTGAGTATGCAGATTGCTTCAGTTGAAAATAGAGTTATCCAAAGATAACAGTAAATAGTCACGAGTTCTAGTTCAAGTGTAGTCAAAACTATACACGTTCCTTTTGGAAAGGTTTGTGTTTGAATTGTCCTTCATATTGATTAGGAGGTTTGAAAAATGTAAGGGATACTTAGAAAAAGGAAAAATAAGATTTTTCAAAGGAGTCAGGACTTAGGACTGCGTGTGTGTGATGTGCACACTTACACACACATATGTACATTTGTTTCAGATACAATTGAGATATAGTCAGCATTGGTGACCAAATTATATCTTTGAATTTTATAGGCTTCATTAAAACTAGGTCAGACCTTAGTTTACAGTGAAATATCCACAGTACTGTAGTGTCCTTGTGATTTAAGGACTTCATGAACTAAATCTGATTCATTCACAACTGGTATCCACATTCATTTGTTCATAGAATTCATCTATGTCACTATCATTTATGAGAAACCTTGGCTGTAGGTATTTAGAGTTCCCAACATAACATATTTCAGATCTGTTAGTGTACCTTGAAAGCAAGATGAACTGGGCATGCCTATAATCCCAGCTACTCATGAGGTTGAGGTAGGAGGTTTTCAAAACGTTTGATGCACCCTGGGTAATTTAGCAGGATCTGTCTCAAAAAAGAATTTTTTAAGAGGTATGGGGATACAGCTCTGTGGCAAAACACTTGCCTGGAAGGCATAGAGCTCTGGGGTCAGGCAAAAAAAAAAAAAAAGCAAAAGGCCAAAGGAAATAGTCTCTGGATACAAGACCCAAAGTAAAGGATAGTAGTTAAGATCACAAATTTTTCAAATTATGGGTGCTAGCATCCTAGCCTTCTATTTTCTGTCCCTGAGTAAACTTACATGATTGTTGATAGAATGAAATAAGATAAAGTATTGAAGCATTTGGCATAGTACCTGACATACAGTACTCTCCAAATAACGGACTTCATTCCTGTGAGAATTATTACTAGCTGTGCATTGTAAAATGACATATCTTCCTTGAACTGTGCTGTGTGCCTAGTAAGGAATGGAGTAAGGGAAGAATGACAGATGCGTATGGGGTGGGGCATGGTGTTTCTTTCGGCTCTTTTCACTAAAAGTGGGAGAATTACTCAGTAAGAAAATATAATTAAATGATTGAAGTGCATCTTCATGATTCTAGTAGTAATCAATAAACTACTGGGGGCTGGGGATGTGGCTCAAGCAGTAGCGCACTCGCCTGGCATGCATGCGGCCCGGGTTCGATCCTCAGCACCACATACAAACAAAGATGTTGTGTCTGCTGAAAACTAAAATAAATAAATAAATAAATATTTTAAAAAAAAATAAACTACTAAGGCAGGCTTTTCTGTGGTTTCTGGAGGCACAAGGCAATGCCCTGGTTCACCATGAAAGGGCCACCCAGAAACCTACATCATCATGGCCCAAGAATCTTACAAACTAAACTTTGCTCATTTATTATTTTGGATCCTATACCATAGACTTATCTTTTTGTTTTGTATTTAGTGATGCACCAGGAAAGCAGAGTGATTCATCTGTCTTTTCTCTTTGGACTAGGCTCTCCTCCATCTGCTCTGATTATCTACTATATCTACATAGTCAGTGCAAGGAAAGTGCTACTTGATGCCCGTTTATGCTGGGCATTTATTTCCTGACTGGCTGTCCTACCTCAGAGCACCCTTGATATCTCATTCCTGGGCTGCTATTCCATGCTTTCATTCTTCAGTGTTCATTGAGGGCCTACTATGTGCAGGATATTGCCCTTGATATCCAAGCATGAAAAAAAATGGTAGTAGGGCCAAAAGGATACCAACTAACCCCATTCCAAGGACCCTGAATGTAATTGATAATAACTAAATGGACATGACCAACACAAAAAAGATAAGTCTATGGTATAGGATACAAAATAATAAGTTGACTGCTTGAGGTTGCATTAAACCCATCTCCCAAACCAGTAACCCAGCCAGGCTGAGAAGGACTTGTAGACTTCCACTCTTCTTGCAAATTGTTGATTTCTACTCTTCACTGATGTAAGTACAGAGCCAAGAGTGAGCTTTGGCTTACTCTTATAGCATTTTAGTATTGCCATCCACATCCAAACGCATCATCAGTGGACTCCTCTTGGTGAGTAGGGTACAGAGCAGTAGGGTGTTGGTCAGTCATGTGTGGCCAGAGCTAATCAAAAGTCTTATGCAGCAGAACCATGTATTAGTCCATAAAATACCAGGTTTTTTTAATGGTCTTTCACTTCAAATCATTTACAAACCATTGTTTTATGATTATAGCACTCTTAAATGTTTTTTCCTTTGGGCTTATTTTTGGTATGTATCTAATATTTATTTTTTCACTTTGCTCTGAATACTGCTTTTATTTCAATTTGCTACCTGTGGTCTTTATCTGCTGCAGTCTTACTAATTAACACATTACTAATTAACACATTTGACTAGAATGAGAGCCCACCATCCAAATTCACTCTAGTATGGGAGGCTATTCCAACCAGAAGCCAATCACCCTTCCCTTCCCCACTTCACCTCTACCACCCACACTCTCCCTCTGTTTCCATGCCACATCTCCTTGCAGTTTGTCACAATTTGAGCTGATCTCCCTGCACAAGGAAGGACTGCATCCTACCTGTTGATCGCCTCCTCCATTCCCAGAATCTGAGATGACATATTCAGTGTTCAAAGTGTGGTCCACCCATCAGTGGCACTAGCACCTGCAACTTGTTAGGAATGAGAATCTGTATTAGAAGCTCCAGAGAGGAGCTTGGCCCTCCTGTGACTCTTAAGACCCCTGTATCAGGAAGAGCTTGAGAATTCTCTGGACAGGAAAGAGTCTGCCACCTCGTGGGCACTTTGGGAATGTGCATTTTCTTCCCTTCCTTGTGCCCGGAGTCTCTTGAGGGGTTCCATTCTTGATGGAGGCTTCCCTTAGACCTGGCTCACCTTAATTGCAGCTAAAAGATCTACTTCATCATTCCTCCTGGTAACACATCTCTCTTGGACTTGAGCCCTTCTGAGAATCCCACATTTTGAGTGGGGCCCTGTCCTCCCCTGAATTTTTACAAGGCTTCTCCCTTGTACCCTTTCAAGCCCCCCTGAACTTCTCTCCTAGAACCGCAAGGTCCCACCAGTCCAAGAAGGGTGTGCCCTAAAGAGATGGGCAGACTCCCAGAGTGGGACCTAACCAATGCCGGCAAACCCAGACAGTCAGACCCCTGTGTGTTGATGTTTGCCCTTGAAGTCAATGAGGGACCTTCCTAAAACACTGAAACCCAGTGGGAGAAAGAAAAGAGGGACTGACCCACCTCCCTGGTAGTATCAGAAGGATACCAGCAATCTAGGGAGCTCATTGAAATTTCTCTGTAGATCCTCTCTGTGTTTAAGATAGATTTTTAAAAATGAGTCTCAGACAGCCAGGAAGCCTAAGTGAATAACCAAGATCATTTTAATAATAAGCTATGTTCTCTCGTTATGAAAGCCCTACATGTTCTTTGCAGAAAAAAAAATCTATAATTGTAAATTATAAATAATTTTTTAATATTTATTTTTTTTAGTTGTAATTGAAAACATATCTGTATTTTATTTATTTATATTTTTGTGGTGCTGAGGATTGAACCCAGGGCCTCGCACTTGTGAGGCGAGCGCTTTACCGCTGAGCCACAACCCCAGCCCCATAAATAATTTTTAAAAATAATTTGTAATTCAATCCCCCAAGGACAAGCACTATTATAATTTTTATTTTATTTTGGTCCTTGCTCTGCATATCTATTTTTCCCAAACTCAAGATCCTATTAGGCATTCCATTTTTAACCTTTTTAACGTTAAATTTTAAGCTTCGAATGCTTAACAATACATCATGAGCATTTTCCCATATGATTAAATATCCTTCTAAATCCTGACTTTTATTGGCTATAGATTATTCTTGCTTGT